AAGAATAAAATGAAATATTAAAATCACGATATATCTCGCTGCTTTGCGCGAGTACGCTTCTAGTATATATATATTGATGAAGAGATGTTCAAAGAAAACCTTCAAAAAATTGAAAGACTAAGGAACGCCCTAATAACCATTCATTTAGACGGTACTCATTATTGGTTTTTGTGCACCTTTGCATTTTGTAACCTCTAGATAAATGATTACCATAATTTTTCCTCAGTTTTTCATTTTCTTTTACGTTTTTTTTTACAAAACATGACCATGACCATGACCCTATATTGATGAATATATTCATTGACGAATTACATGTTATAACAAGGTATTAGGCATTAACTGTTATGGTTCTCAAATAATTGAAAGCTATTTGGCATGTAGATATTACTTGTGTATTATGTAATAAATGATTATATATCACAACAGTCAACAGATAATGTTATATCTGGAAAGAAAACCTCATAGCTGGTGAGATTAAAAATATTCGACTAGACTAGAATATAGAAATTAACGGCAACACTTGCTTACTCTGACTTTCTTGTAAATTCTCTTCTCTAACTTAACATATTCATTGGCAGCATCTCCAACTCCCATTCCCATAAAGTCGATTGGATATCAAAGTCCCATTTACTTATATTTGATGATGATGATGATGATCCATTTATATCGATATCATCATTCCCCAATTCCAATTCCAGTTCCAGTTCCTTCATTTTTGAGGATCCTTCAATTAAATTCTTGATCCTCTTGGACATTTCGTCAGCTTCCATCTATGCATCCACAATTTGTTTAAATGTTAAGAAAGATATATATGCCGGTACGTTGCAATCGGAAATCAATTAAGAAGGTAACGGGATTGACCTTTTTATGGCGGAGGTGGAAGATGGAATGGCCGGAGCTGGAGAAGTTTGCAAGTGCTACCTCGGTGCTATATCGTTCAAGTAACTGAACCACGTCGCAAAAATCTGAATGGTTTTTCAATCCTGTCACCAGAACGGCATCCAGATCAGGACTCATTTCCTGAATTTGAACATCGAGCGATTGGCGGACGATGTTGGTTTTGGTGTGTTGGAATGATCTTTTTTTACTCAATAACTGCTCCTTCTTCTTCTTATTCATCTCCAAGCTGTCTTTCAAGGTTTGAATGTAGTCTATGGCTCTATCCACTCGATCTGACACCTGAGCACCTCCCTGAATCCATAAATTAATCAAAGTTAATTAAAAAGGATTGGATTTAATCATTCAGATTGGAGATGGGAAGTTAATTAATTGAACCTTGGAGATGAGATGAGGAGGGATGAGGGAGAAGAGATGAGAGTAGAGAAAATTCATGTTGTTCCTTCTGTTCTTTTCAGTAATCTTCCTTTCTGGTTTCTTCATTTTCAGAGAACCCGAACCCGAACCAGAACCAGAACATTTGTTTTTCCTCTCCATCACTCACTTCATACAAACTGTGATAGTTAATTTTATATATATAGAGTATGTGTGTGTGTGTGTGTGTGTGTGTGTGTGTGTGTGTGTGTGTGTGTGTTTTTGAAGGTATGAAAAGGGAAAGGGACGAGGAAAAAGAAGAGGGGGTCCACGTAATTACAACTTTATAAGTTACGTCACGTCTCTTTCGTCACTCGCCTTCTTTGTTTTAATGGAGCTTCAAAATATCAGACAAATTTCAATTAATTTTCAATGCAATTTCCGGTGCTGTTATATTACATAAAGATGACTCAAACATACTCGGTTTCATATATGATTTTATAACAAAATTAGTATAATATTATATATGATACGACCGTTTTCATATTCTCTTATTTGATTATTGTTTTTATTTTAGTTTTCGCCTCTCTCTTTCAACCTCTCTTTTTGTATATATAAATCAGGTTAACTATATTATAAATATAAAAAATATGTTTTGATATTGATGTTATATGCATAGGAAATTAGTAAGTAGATGTAGATTTAGTTTACCCCTAAAATTCATTTCATTAAGATAACATTTAGTATGCAAACATGATTGAACATGAGTTGATAGGATAGGACATTATTGGACTGAACATAATCAATGTTTTTCTAGTGTTTGATATAACTAAGATTGGACTAGACATAACCAACACAAAAAGAATAAATAATTTTTTAATTTAATTCAAAAACATTTTTACACAATTTTTCATATACATAAATACATACATGTATGTATAATAGTACCGAATTTAAATAAATTTTTTGATATAATTGATGACAGTTTAAAAAAACTCGATTCGTACGAATGAGAAATTATATTTTATTCGGTTTAGAAGATCTTTATCAATTGGCAAAGACACAATGAGTATTGTTGTAATAACAACAGTTGTGGAGGTAGACGATGGTGGCTGTGGAAGACGTGAAGATGATGGATAATGGTGGTGGTCGCCAGTGGTAAAAGAGGTAGTTGTGGCTAATTTGACGGATGCAGTGGTGGTGGTAGCCAATGGTATGATGGTGGTGGTTATGGTGGATGTGGAGGTTATAGGCTTTGATAAAAATAATAACTACCAATTACATATTTATTACGTTTATTTTTGTCAATTAAAATCCAATTTAAATCATAAATTGTCATAGGATTTTTTTTAATTTAAATTGACCATTTTTATATGTAACAAATTCTAACAACAAGCTTTCGTTCTTTTATTTTTTTGTCATAAAAAAAGTTCATAAAAAAAACCAACCTTTTTAAAGATTTATGATCAATTAAAGTGCAAATTCTGTATAACTTACTACTTGGATTTAGTCATTCAAATGGTTCAACGTGGTCCACCCAACTTATGCATGACTAACTAAAACAAGGAAGGTTCACACAAATTTCACAAAAAAACTTTTTCACAATTTTATATATAAAAGGTAAAGATTGTCGTGTCCAAATCTATCTTATTTCGCCTCTTTCACACCCATCCTAGATCGTAACAACATAGCAACATGGAAAGCGATGTCGTGCTAATAGCTTTGGCTGAGGATTGGTTGATTGTGGTGGTGGGGTTGCAGTGTGAAAAGATGGCAATATACATTAAATTAAATTCGGTTATATCAGTTGTTTTTGCCTAACAATTCATACTCGACATGAACTAATGACTTTGACGCCCAAATACAAGTAAAATAACAATTCGTTGGTCAACATATATATACTTAATAACCTAGCTAAACGAGGTTTTGTAACTCTCAAATGACTTTCGAAACAAAAACGATCCTCAACAACCAGTTGATAACGCACACATATGGTGGTGAGGTCTTTTGGCGTATATATCATGTTAAAAAACTTGAAATTTGTTGTAATTAAAAAATAGACACATCTTAGAAATAGTATCATTTATAATAATATTCCTATTTGATAATTAAAAAAAAGTCATGTTACAAGCTTATTGAGGGGGTTTGAAATATTATGTTAAAGAAATTCGTGAAAAAAAATTAACATTTAAAAAATATGTATTGTCAAAAAGATGTGCACACGTTAAAGAGTTTGTAATAACAACATTGGACTATGTTAGAATTTATCCTTAAAAACTATGTCATAGGAAATAAGCAGATTTTTATAAATTTATTTTTGTCATACACAATCTATATACGTGGTCTCAAGACATATTGTCCCTACGCAAGAATAATGGCTCTCGACAAGCTATTGGTGGTTGGAGTATGTGTGGAGTAAAACGAAGTCATTTATTACATAATGTCTGACTATCCTCTGTTGTTATTAAAATGGTGAGACTTTTCTTTTATGTGTTGTGTTTAATAATTTTGACGTGTAGAGATGTTGACATACATGTACATGTACATTGTGATAGTGGGATTATTCGATTATAAAGCTTGGGGATGTTTTTAAAAGGTAATGGTAAGTGAAGGGGTTGAATGTGTCATTGCACCTAAATTCTTTTTAAAACTCTCACTGTCATAGTTTTTTTTAAATATGATTTTAATTAAGATTCCTTGATATATCTCTTTGGGTTAGGATTTAAGAAAGGAGAGTTGGTAAAAACTTTTCGGTGTGTATGATCCTTGGTGTGAAACAAACAAAACCAAAGAAGGAAGCTTGTAGAATTGATTCTGTGATTATTTCAGCTGGTTAATTGCTACGGTTGTCTGTATATATCACTGTGAATTGATAGGGTGAGTTTAATTTTTATCAACTATTCTTATTTGAAAACTGGGTATAGAACTGTATGGTTTTTTATATGAAATGTTGTGATAAAACTGTTTTGATGCCATAATTGGCAAAATTATGGGTTTTTATTATGATTATTATCATTGTGGGAACAAAGGTGACATATCAAGTATATGTGTATTTTGGTTATAAATGTATCATATTAAAGAGAAGTGTATACCAGGATAAGGATGACAAAATCATGAGTTATAAAAATCTGGGTTTTTGATCAACATTCATAGTTATCGCATCTTTATCATGCAATGACTTATGGTTGTCGCATCTATGTGATACGATGACTTCAAGTTGTCTCATCCTATTGGTGCGATAAAATGTGGTTATCGCACGAGTGTGATGCGAGGAGTAAGTTTTGTTGCATTCTTGTGATGCGACAAGTTAACTTGTCTCACCCACATGGTGCGACAAATTGGGTTTATCGCACAGTATGATGCGATGAGTTGATGTTCTTGCACCAGTGTGATACGAGGACATGAGTTTGTCGCATCCATGTGATGCGAGAAATTGTATAAATTTTCTATATGATGCTATAACTTTTACCATAATGTGTTTATCAAATTATTTGAGTATTGGATGCCATAAATGAGGTTTCTTATATCAAAAGAATGTATATTTGTTATTATTATGAATATGATTTCATAAATATAATTTAGTGATTTTTCATCTTGTAATTGTATCAAAGAGATTTCTCACTAGACCTCAAGGTCTAATCCTCATTTTGTGTTTAAAAAATGTGCATTACAGGTTGGACACAACCAAAAGTTAAGGGGAAGGGAAAATTGTGAAGTGATAATATTATGCTTGCATGAGATTTTTGGCTAGGATATTTTTTTAATCTAAGTACTTGTTATATATTCATGTATTGTATAGAGATTTTGTGAAAAAGTTGATTAGCTATTTTGTAATATAGCTTTTGTAAGAGGTTGAGACCGAATGTATAAATTATATTTATTGATATATAGAAATATAGGTTTATATGTAAATGTGATTTTGGGGGGTTGCATACATGTACAAACTTTGAATCATTTGAGAAGAAAAACACTTTTGTAACACAAATTGTGAGCTTTTGGATGTGTTTTTTCTGATCTATCGAATTTTCACAACAAAACTCCAAATATTACAAGACATTCATATGGGAAACACAAGTAATATTCATCATAATTCTTTTTTGATGAAATATATATTAAATATCAAAGAGTGAATCATACTGGTGGTTTCTTGGGTTTTGCTCAAATTTTGGATTTGACTCCTAAAACAAACTATCTATACAGATATTAGCAACCATTATAAAGGACTAATCAATCTTTGAACAAACTACAGGGACCAAAAATATAATTTGTTCTAAAATTTAATAAGATGCATGAATTTTTTAAATTTTTCTTAAAAAATATTTTATGTATATCCAATCATAAATGAAATTTCTTAAAATAAAGCATATATTAAATAAAAATTATTATATTTATTAGAAACTACTAAATTCACAAAAAATTAGCTTTAAAAATCTCTAAGTTTAAAAAAACAAAGAAAATCAAGATAAATTCACATATCTTTTGGGTTGGGATGAAAAATGCGAGCAAAATATTGAAAATGAAGTTCGGTTAACGTGAGATTATTAATATATAGTCAAACTATAAAAAATTAAAATAACAACAAAAGATAAATTATAAATTAAGATTAAAGAAAAAAACACTGATTATTCAAATAATTAACTATAACAAAATTAGGTAGATATGACGCCAAAAAAATTAAGCATCCTAAAAACCCGTCTTTTTATAAGACATTTGTTTTTATTGAAAACAAATTTAAATATATCATATAAAATTGTTAATGCGACGCTTTGTATTATACGTATCATAAAAACTTGTTACAACACCTTTAAATATGATTGCCCGTTCGGTTTGTGCAACATTAGATTTCAACACAAAAATAGAACTCAGTGCGAATATACACCTTAGACTATTATCATCTTGTAACAAGTAATAATGATATAAGTACCAGATATCGTTCTCACAGTGAACGCTTTGTAAAGTTCTTCAAAAGTCTAGTCTATAAAAATTAATTTCAGATGACGAATTCGAGAGATTTGTTTTATCTAAAATTGAGAGGTTTGATTAGCAACTAAGAAAATATCAGTCGTAAAAAGAAAAAAACATGATACAAAGGTTGATTAAGACACAAAACATATGATCCAACAGAAAGATAATATAGCACTCCTATCACAGTTCTATAAAACCACATGATAATGTTATAAAACTTTCACAATATCAACTATTAGGTC